GATAGATAGATAGATAGATAGATAGATAGATAGATAGATAGATAGATAGATAGATTAGATTAGATAGATAGATAGATAGATAGATAGATAGATTGTTAGGTGGTAAGGTGGGAGAGCATTGCGAATGCTGTTTATCGGTGTCACGTTCCTTCCATTGTTACAATCTCCTCCTGACACTAGGTCCTATAGACGACATTACTAAAAGGTTTTTTCATTTACAAGCCGTATATGAAATAATCAGGAACTCAGGAGTGGGGTTCGAACGCGGTCAGCCATTCAGCCTGTCCCACTGTATAGTGCACGTCTCGGCAGTTGGTCTATAAAGACGCATCGACAGTTCGGATCTTATCGCGTCCCATTTGTATGTGGATAAAGATCATCGGTGCGTCAGTTACTGTTGGGGGAGGCAGTGAAGTCATGAACTTTTTAAAGTTCTCCCCTCCCCAACGAGATTCGGTCCATAATATCTGAGAGAAAGCTTAGAACAACACAAGGCTATCTAAGCTGCAACAGTTCAATTCTAAATGCACTTTTATATGAATAATAATAAGTAGCTTGTTACAATTACTAACCGTTAATATCTTGAACATGGGCAACCTAGCATCCGGAAATTGCAGTATCTAATCGGACGGGTGTATTGTGCACACGTACAGTAGGTAAACTGTGAAGTATCCAGTGATGACAGCTTTCGAATCACAAGTTCTTTTTGCTTGTGGTACACCGGTAATACAGTCTGACATCCTGTTGGAACAGGTATTTTCGCAATATTTGGAATCAAATGAAACTGGCATAATGCATGCTCGAGTGGCATTACGATGCGATTTCATTTTGATGAAATCCATTTACTCCAGGAACCCGATAAGCTGTTGTTGTTGTAAAAAGGCCATCCACATCAAGCTTGCGTTCAAAGGTGAATACATTTACATACATGATTTGTGCCAGAATTTGAGGTCAGTTCTAGACCGTACATTCCCAGCTGCTCTACTCAAACTCATTGCCTCCACTCGTGGAATCGATTTGGACAAACGTAAACATGGCTGGCAAACCAGTTCCGTCTCACACACACTGTATACCAGTTCACCTGCAGTTTCGGTGACGCTCACATAGGCAGAACAAACCGTCAACTGTCACAACGGATGACCGAATATATTCCAAATAGGGTTGTTGGAATCGACGACGCAACCGATAAATGATGGCCAAGTGATGGCAAGAAATCCAGGACCATCTGTTGCTAAACATCTCATGGCAGCAAGATACACAGTTGACCCTAATTCGTCTTTCAAACCACTATTACTTAACCGCAATGCTAAACTTTTGGTGACTAGTGAAGCATTGCTCATTGGATTACATCACCCGACCTTATGCGCACAGAAGTTTTTGATACAGGCCACTTACCGTGGAATTGACCTTCTACTTCTAAATTAAGTAATCTTCGTATGCTTGTACAAGTTCGTTCACCATAATTGATTAACCCCATGTGCTATATATGTGCCTGTTTGTTTCAAGTCAGCGACTGAGAAGATCAAACGAAATGTTAACATCTCGCGGCATTTGTGTTCTTTCTGTTTTGATGTTGTTGTTGTGTATTTTGAATGTTTTACAGTGAGTAGTGACCTTAGTCGTGGTGGTGTTACGGTGCGGTTGCACGTTCCTGAATTCCTCAACCTTGTTTTTGGATCATTTTGGTCTTCATGCACACACATCTTATCACAGTTAGTGAGCAGATTCTACCGCTGTGAGAGAATCTCTCCTTTTCCTCATCAGTCACCCCTACCTTCGTCCATGTGCCTACCTTCAAAGTTTCGCAACGGCTCGATCAGATGACCACAAAGTTTTTACTGCGAAAGTCGAGACAAATCGATTGTGGAAATTTGTACCGATTCATCGTGGGGTCTCGAACTTGTTCGGCTGAGTCACTCGTTTGTTTTTACTTGCGATTTACGGTTCCGTTTGTAACCGGAACGATATTCACAAGCAACCGGTCATCGTTCCGGACTGTGCACCACTCTCATTTCTCAATTGCCCATCTGCACCTATACTTGATCGAGCGTGTGTGTGTGTGTTTTGGTCCCAGCAATCCTGGACTCCTCACCATGCTCTGTGCAGCCCTGACGGAAAGGATTAGATCATGCCCCAATATGTCTTGTATCACTCCCAAATCATCAGTGGGCCTCGGTTGGTGTGGGCAATGCACACTTTCGAGGATTGATGCTGAATTCGGCAGTCTTTGAGTCTTCTGGGAGGGGGACATAGTGGGGTGTGCGTGTGTGTGGTCAGTGTTGTGGTTCATCTGTCGATGAGGCTAAGCTTGGGGATGGTATCAATTGGGGCGAATTGAAACTAAATAAAACGATGTTTACACACACACACGCACACTTTTAACTATCCTCTCTTCCATTTGCTTCCTGTCTAATTGGCAGATCGGGTTAACCAAAAACACCTATCAGTTACCGGTGATCTTGTCCGAAAAATAACTGGTTGTTACCGAAAGGAAAATCATCTATGCAGTGATTATATCTGTGGTACTACGGAATTTTTTCTCTCTCTCTTAAATTTTCTGTTCCAGTAGATGTAATCTGTGTGGACTATGCAGCTAGGTCGTAAACCGGGAGGCTCACATGTTGACTGTTCCTACACGGTAGTGGTTTCCGTTGGACATGAAAACTTCATTTTAAAATTCTGGTCTCAATTCCCATTCCTCCGTTTTGTTATACATTTGACTGTTTCCTACCTTGTGTACGTATACCAGTTTAATTTTTTTCAGTTTTTGTTAGTTAATCTAATTGAGATTGTGCTCCTATCGAAAGCGCATACTGCTCAGGAGAAATGCCAGATTTGTGCACGGCATTTCGGATCACCTGGTCGCGGATTGGCTGTTCGTTACGATCCATCTGATTGGTTGCTAGATCCTGACTGATCTGATACAAAGTCTCGCAAGACACGCGTTAGTTCCGTACAGATCAGCTGCTTTCAGTCACGTGGTTTCTCACTGTATGCTTCTCACTCATTTCTTTAAATGACCACTTTGACTTGGGGAGCTTAGAGCATGTTTAAACGGCTATGATTAAACGTAGGTCGCTTTATTTTTTGTTTCGGGTGCGGAATTAACATGCGACGAATAGATCATCGCGGTCATATCAGTTTGAAATAAATTATAGTGATGAATTGTGTGATTTACTTGAAGGGAGTGGTTTCTCGTTTAAATATGGTTCGGAAATCGGTTTTCATTTATCGATTCCTTGCGCTTTAAAAAAGGAAAGCCGCAACTGTCTCGTACAATAAAAATACCCACAATTCATTTATCCTCGTTAACATACAGAGTACCTCCATGAGAATTCTTTTAAAATAGCCAATGATCTCTTTCATAGTAATCCAGCATATATCTATTCCCCTTTCCCCCGTCGTGTTTATCTTTCTTCAGCTGTATGCCACTGAGCTGGCTATTATGCTTTATCGTCAAACGAAGAAATCGTTCCTGGCCGCCCAAGCTTTCTCCACCTTGTCCTCTTCCACCTCCTCATCTTCGATCCCTCGTCGGGGTAAATCCGTTCAAATCACATGTTCCACTCGTCGTCCCGTAATCCATGGATCCGGAGGTCCCGGTCGACCAACCCAATCTTCCAATCCCTCGTCCCTTTCCTCTTGTTCCGCAGTCGCCTTGGCCAATCCATCCTCTCCGCAACATCCGTATGCGATCTACGCGGTCCCCGGCTACGCGGGCACGGATTATGATGTCCATACAACCCCATCAGGCCCGATCACCGCGCAGTTCACATTGAATTTGCGTACACTTCAATCTTTCAGGTACTAGTCTGCGAAAGAGTTACGAACTTTTTGTTGTTTGTGCCTCCAAGAAAGTTTATCATTTATGTTAACTGTCATCAAAATATTGTATAACTGGCGAAAAAAGCATTGGACAACTATTTCGATCTGCTTGAGATTCATCAACAGCGCGTGTCATTCTTGTTCGTGCTGAGACTCGGGCCCAGAGCCTTCCGTTTGTGCGTTGAACTCTTTATCCCTGAGTTACATGATTGATAGCTAACACAGGTGCTTTTCTTATGTCCCAGATGGAATTACTCAACTGTTTCCCTTTGGGGAATAAGCCAGTTCCATAGACAAAAGGATGGTGGTAGCAGATTGTTTAGAACATCTCGGTCATTGCCCTCGGAGCCCTTCTGGGCTGTTTTACCACAGGATCTCACAGTCTGTACTAGAGGATGGACTAATGGTACCTCGCCTGACAGTTATGTTCAAATTTGCCCCGATAGACACACACACTTAAGCTCAGTCTGAAAGACCGTGGGGGAGGACTATTGTGTGCTTTTCATCTTATGGACATTAATTAGATGGAACACAACAGGGACAGTGGCTTTGTTCAATGGATTCCCGCGATCGCCTCGTCGTAGTGCGGTTTACAGACGTATACGGTGTTTTAGACAGCTGAGTACTGCCAAACCCGCCGTGTCCTCATTCACTATCAGTCTTCGTTCGCGACCTCATACCCAATACGCGTTGGTTTACTTTATCACGACTGACCAGTTAGTTGGTTGTGAACTCTGTATTTGTAATTTCAGGATCCGACCGGTAATATATTGCTCTACTCCTGGGGTTTCTGTTCCTTGTTTAGGTTTCTAACTTATTCCTGTCTGTGCACCATGCCGGCAAGCAACATGTACCATTTCTTTACATCTTTTAATTCAGATATCAAGCCGAAATATCTGCACAGGCTCTACTAGATCGATATGAACAATTGGATTCCAACACCCCAGACCGATTCTATCCAACCGTATCCTCTACCTCCACCGGTCCAGGTGGTCCCGGAGGTAATGCTGTAGTCACTGGCAACGGTGGAATAACATCTGCCTCACTTAATCGAGCCTTATCCCGAACGCAAAATATGGCCCCGATCAGTCCCGGTCTCCTGTCAATTCACTCACCTCTCGGTCCACCAGTTCCTTCCACACAAAGTTTGACCGGGTCTAGTGTGTACGCTAATTCGTGGTATGTGAGTCTTGGACGCCTCGGTCGATCCAATAACGGACCTACACCTGCCCCAGAACAGACATCCATCGGGAGCGGTGGTCTGGGATCCGGTTATCTGATCAATCAGAACAAATTAACCAATCTCAACTATCCCCTTGGTCGTGGTTCGACTAAATCGATTCCTCATCCACATCCTACCGGAGTTGGTGTTGGGGGGATTGGTAACGGTACAGGTGTTGGAACACCGGGTGTTATTAATTCCACCAATGGATGCGGTGGTTGGCAAACACCAGACTCGGGGGCCGGAAGCAGTAGTACTCATGAAGTCACTCAGCCTGTCCTCTTCCCCACCGTTTTCCCGCCTGGTCTGATCGAGTTGGGCGCATACGACACAGTGCTCGATCTGATGCCTCCCGTTTTAATTCATCCCAACGCGACCGGAGACGGTCACGTGCATTCATCATTCTGTGATACCGATTCCGACTCGTCGGATTCATCTGACGGAGATCCTGGGGCCGAATTGGCCCCAATTCACCCCAATATCCCGGCCTCGGTAACTGGTTTGACGTCGGTCGGCCAGTCGACCGGTACGGGTCCACCGAATGAGTCCACCCAATCCACACCGATACCGATCAGTACAGGCTGGTCCCGTTCGGACGAACGAAAACTGCGAGTATTATTGCATCAACTGATTCACAGTCGACGGGTGTTGCGATCGACTATTGTGGAACAGTTGCCCTCCAACCTGACCGATGATGATGGACTCAGTGATGGCCATCAGTCAGTGAGCAGAGAATCGTTTCCGGTAAGTTGTGACTGGATTATTGGCAGCTAAAGTTACAGTTCTTCATTCTTGTCCTACAGGTTAGATGGAATAGTCTTCTTATTGTATGCCTTGTGTCTTGTACAGTGAAATCCATTACCAGAAAAGTTTGTTGTTCGATCATGAGAACCGGCGACTTACTCCCTGATACTTAGCATGGCGAACTACAATCTGGAAGGCACGGGCAGGTTTCCAATCAAGGACCAAACCTCTGTATGGTCGGGACTGAGTGTCTCGGGTCGCAGCCGATCTCTCTACCCTTTCACCTCGGAAATGCTCCCATACGTCCAAGTGTCTCGATGAGTGTCTGCTGAGGAAGCCCTACTCACTGCCTTCTCATGGCACAGGTGTTTTCCTACCAAAGTGAGAGGACAAAAACTCACTATCCAGGGATATAATCGCGTCGGTGAACCATTAGCAGTTAACCTATGGGGGGGGATAGGAGGAGGCTAAAAACCCTGATTCCAAACTAACCAAGAGGAGGAGGTGTACGAATCACACTGACCCAGACCTGGTAGTCATAGTGGTCACCAGCTTGATTGGGTATCGAAGTGTATTGGGCATTTTGGACAGTTGATCTCGTCCAAAGCGTGTCTGATCACGGTTTGCCTCACACCGCCCCGCTCACATGACCGTCAGACTTTGGTCAGCCAAAGAAAGGCTCCGGTTGTGAATTCCTCAAGAAAATTTACCTGCTTTGGCCTGGGCAAATTGGCAGTATTCCGTCCACGAGCCAATCACGAACTCCTTTTTTTGTTTTTTATACAAATTAAATTATCGTGAGTTGACACACAGCATTAACTCAAACGTGTATGAGAATAAGAAATATATACAACTGATGTACCAGAAACTATCGTCGAAATCGTGCAGTCGTACACACTTTCGATTGGCATTCGATTGATAGAAGCAAAAGCGTAAACGGATATTATTACGGATATGGTCGTTATCATCATTGTGCAGCGAAATACGGTGAAGCGAACTTCACTGATCCCGGCCAAACTCGCAATGCATACAAGGTTAGTGGTAAAATTCAAGATGGACTGGTGGACAGGTATGGTCCGTCCGGTATGGAGCAGTATCATATTCAATCTCGTGAATGAGGCTAAGCGTTGAGAAGAACGAATGTGATGATCGTGTCAGGGTGTTGCACGAGTTTGATCAATACCTGTATACCTGAGTGTTTGTGGCAAGCCATTGATGGCGATGTGATTCACTCGGTCACGGATTTTTGCCCGCTCGTTCCGGTCATTCACATATCGAACCGATAAAAATTATCGCGCACCCTCAACGTGCACTGTGTTGTATCGATCCTCACCAGTTCCAGCTCCCCCTCCCCCCCCCCACTGAGGCCGTTCACAAACTGGNAAACTGGTCGGTTGATTTGATGACCAATACACCTCAATTCAAATTGTTTTGCACCCAAGCAAGAAATGAGTTCATCTATCACGTGATACGGGATTTGTTCCCGTTGACATGTGACTGATTCCTCTCTCTCGTTCATCTTTTCAACTAATCTGCTGTGAAACTTAGACGGGTTTCGCGATTCACGCATTCCCTAATCTGTTCCAGTTCGGTGGCGTTCCGCTTCAATTTCAATCTCGAAACCGAAATAATCGCATATCGGTGACAATGTCAACCAATCGGGGTGTTGAGAAAGACTGTCCACGATACGCAGAACGTTGACTGATTACTTACTTTGTTCTATCGACAATACTGTGCATTTGTAAATGGACCAGTTTCTCAACCTTCGTAACTTGGGGCGGTCGACATAGTGCAGTTTTTTCATCCGTAATGCACCAATGCAATTGGGGAATGGATTGAAGGTCAAATGGCATACACTTGGATTTTGTCCATTCCATTTAGTATCTCACAGGAGGTGAAGCAGTAGTTTTTCTGATGGACTAAAGCGGTGGGCCGATGAGCAATACGAATGGATGGCCACTCGGAAAAAGTCTATTCCGATCCGCTCTCTTTCATTTGTCTCACACACCAAGTTCATTTCGATCCCACAAAAATCGTAAAGGTTCTTGGTACATTCATCACTCTTCTTCATAGGACTCCGTTTTGAAACGTTTTGAAAAGAATGAAGGGACGTTCTAAAACATGGGTACGGCTATTTTCGGATTTCGCGAATGAATAGTTTAAACTTAGGCTCCCGCATGTTGCTGACCCTTTCATAATTCCCGTTAGGAGTATGAATGGTGAGGTGCAGACGTGTCATGAGAATCTGACTTGCAGATTGTATCTGGGTTATTTTTTGAGCCCGGGGTTTAGCGCATACATCACGTGTTTTGCAGGTCCCCTTTTGGTCTGAACACTAGTCTCATTTTGTTACGCGGAATCTCACTAGAGGGATGAAGTGGAGAGGCTAAAGGAAAAGCTGTATTGATGCCCGCAGTAAGCTGGCTCTCAGTGGTCGTTAGCCATCCGCAATTGCTCTGTCATATCAGCGTGAGGGAAAAAATAGAAAATGAATCCCATGGGCCGATTAGTCACAGAATTCAAGAGAACAAAATTCAACTGAAAACTACAGTACAAGTGAAGAAGGATTCACAACAACGACAAGCCTTTCTCTGGACCTATGCCACTTCCGCTCACGAGAGAATACAAGTTCGAAGCTCATGAGTGCAGACATCAAACCATGTGCAACGACATACTGGACGATGCACATTCTTAGTAAGGATCTCTGATTGTGATTTCTAATAATGCTCTATGAACAAGACTAGTTTGTACAACATTCGACAATCACAAACTGAGCAGACGCTTTTCATTGGGACCCGTTCCACCCATGGATCTTGTGTGATTTGAGCGATTGTGTAGTTTGTTTTTAAAAAATCCTTTCTCATCTCTTCTTGTTTGTGAACGAAGAGAGCCATCCAACCCTCGGTGGTCTCACAGTCGTGAGCCCCTCGGTCTGAAATTACGCTCGTAAATGGACAAACACTAGTGGTGGTGGTGTGATTATTTTCATCCGCTCCACTTTGCTCCCATCCCACCCTGGCCACTGTCTTAGCAGCCTACCTGTGAAAGCACAGTTTATTTCTCCATTGATCAATTAACTGAGCCGACAAAACGACTTTTTGTTCGGCGGTAGGTGATTCTCCCATTCGGGTTCATTCTGCTCGATTGGTCACTCGGTCTCCCCTCACCGAGCTGATCTACCCACCTCCGTCTCACACTCCTCCCCCCCTCCCCGTCTTCATCCGTCCACAAACATGCCCACACATGTTGCTGTTAGCACATTTATATTCTAAAAACTACCACCCTGTGTGATGTGGAACTTAACAGTAATGTCCCAATTGGAAGCTAGCTAATCGGCCAGCTAACTCACGTTTGATTTAGGCCATTTGGATTACACCACGCCCCCGCTCCCTGCCCGATACCAGATGATAAACAAAGCGGTGCCAGATGATGATGATCTATCTGAGCGGTGGACTCGAATACAGTCAGCTTCCTGTGGAAGATAATGGCGTTCGTTAAGGCACTTTTAATTTGAAATCAATTCTCATTCGCGTTTGCACGCACAGACACACACACACACACACACACACACACATTTTTCACATATTTGTAAACATAGGAATGGTGTAAAAGTTTCCGTCCTAACCCTCCCCCCTCCACCGCCACTCGCTGTCCCCCATTACCCGCGCTATCTCGACCGCGTGCGCAGATGATTAATCAACTTCAATGCGAAAGAATAAGATCGATTGGACACAATTTTTCTGAAGGTGCATTGTGGCGGCAGTAAACGATGATGGTGATGATGATGATGATGATGATGATGATGATGATGATGATGACGATGGTGAT